TTTTTTAAGGATTTATAGTAGCTTAGATGATCCTTTGTTGTGGTTTCTGTGAACTGCTTCTGTGTAGTTCTCCACGCTCCATGTACATTTAATTAACGCTCACTCCTCAAGAAAAAGGTGGAAATATAAACAGCTTGTTCTCAAGGTAGAGACATAAGACATGGGTACCTTTCTCAGAAAGAGAAATTTCATGTAACTGCAACAAATGGAACTGATGTATGCAAAATTCCCGTCAAAAATCTTTGACTAAAAAAATTATGCCAGCTTGTAAATTGCTACTACAGAACAGAGAGGGGACCTGCCCATTAAATCAGCCTCAAATAAACAAATGGAGCCATGACTAAACCTCAAGCTCACCCTCCATTTATTTTTTCTTTTCAGAAAGATTATGAATCTTCATCTTCGATGTAATGAAATCTTGCCAGTGTCTGGGCATTAGAGCAGTTCTGTCCTTCTTTGTGCCCTGCCCTTGAATCGCCTTTTCTATCTAAAGGTTCATATTCTCCAGCTTAAAGGAATTTTCAACTATTTTTCCTTTGATTATTCCCTTCCCTACTTTTGTATTTTCCCCTCATGTTTCTTCCTCTTCCTCTTCCTCTTCCTCTTCTTCTTCTTCTTGACTCTAGAAAGGAGAAATTAGACCAGTCCTCTATGTCCTTGTGTTGGAGAGTTTTTGTGTCTGTACTTTACGGAACAGCATCCCCACTAGCGAGAGCAGCTACTGAATGTTTTCAATTGGATAACACAACTAATTCTAAGAACTCGTGTGTGTTCTTGATTTTTCCTTTGACACCGTATCCTATGTCATCGTTTAGATGTAATACCTTTGTGAAACTCTCTATTTGTTAAATCGATCTTTAAGGTACATTTTGTGTCCTGAATGATCTTTGATGAAGAGCCAGCGCTTTAGTTCATGTTGGTCTTTTTGTTCATGCTACTCGTTTTCGGCAAGTGCCTGGCGATCCTGGTTATCGATCTCACTGGCGGCTTGGGTGCGTTTCCTCTGCTGGTGTGTCAGCAGCGGCGCTCGCCACACGCCTCCTGCCATGTGGAAAGGCGGTGTGGGTGCAGCATGCAGTCGGGCAGACTTTTCCTTGGGGGTTGTCAACTTGGGCTCCCCAATATCTACGTGAGAAGCTTTAGCTCTCCTCAGCCATTCTGCTTAATATTTTGTTATATTTTTTGTTTTTAGAGTTAAAGTCATACAATTTTTTTTGCCTGGCCATAAACATCAGGCTGCCTATAGTCTGCACCGTGTAAGTAGCCTGGGCACCTGTCCCATAAATACCCTGAATGAACCACTTGTTTTCAGTTTCACAGCTCACCTTGGCCTCTCCTTTACCTGCTGATTCTAAGCAGCTCTTCACCACAGCCATGGGCAGGCTGCCTCCCACCTCTAGCACATGTTCCCACAACTGAGTTTAGACCGCTGCTTTCTGCTTTCTGTTGCATCCATTCACACACGTCTAGGAATTTCCATCTTACAGAAACTTGTTAAAAATTTTTCTTCCTTTGATGATCTTATCTTTCCCCTGCCCATCTACTACTTAACTGTCGGGATTTACTCCTTCTTAAGTTTTTATACTTTTATTTCAGTTGGATCTCAGGAAAGATGGGAAGTCATCTCAAATGAGGAGATAAAACTATTATATAAAACATGTTTGATGGTCAAATCAGTTTGGGAAACCCCAATTACTTTATTCTTAAGATTTTTACTTCTATGTAAATGATTTAACACAGCAAACAGACACATACTCATATTTCTCACAGGATTCTAAATATTCAAGTTATAGATTGAAAGAATCACTAATCTATTGATCTATCAAGGGAGCTAGGGCATATATTAGTCAATTACATTATTTTTTATTGTTATTATTATTATTATTATTATTATTATTATTATTTCCCTAAGTAAAATTATATGTCAAGGCTAAAAAATCTTCTCAGACTTGGAAAATCCGCAATGTATAATGCAAAGAGCCTACACTAGGAGCTAAGAAACTAGAATTCCAGTCCCATCTCTAATATACTCCAGGAAGTGAAGCAAGTTTCTTCACACCACTGACCTTAGTTTCTCCATCTCTAAAATAAAAAAGCACCTTTGGAAATGCGCTCCACCTTCGGAAATGTGTGTCTTGTGCTCACCCATGGACCAAGCTGCTCCTTGGACAAGAGGAGCAAGAACTGTTTTCTCTGGCTCTCTCAAGAGTTAATCTGCCCATTTTATGGGTGGGAAACTGAGGCCAGAGAGATTATCATGACCATACCAAAGGGCAGAAGGCAAGCTGGATTAGATAATGCCTGTGTTCCCTGGGAGATGGAAATGGTGTGGCATTGGAGTTAATGCTTTCTCAGGTTTATGGACCAGAAGAGGCCTTCCTAGCCAGCTCATGCCCAGGTAGGTTGGCTGCAGGACGGCGCCTGCCGAGGTGAGTGGAATTCTAACTGCAGTTATACAGGCGAGCAGTAACAAGTCTTCTCTCTTTTTTCTAGTTTTGAATACTATTTATTTAGACTTAAATACCAAAAGTTATGGTGAAAAGACACCTAAGCCAGGGTTTTTAGTTCACTTGGGATTGGTAAGCACTCCCACTCATCCTTCCACCTTCCATCCAGCTCCCAATGCCTGAAGAGTCAGGTGCGAAAGGGAGAGGAAGCGCCCTTGAACTCCCCAGGGACTTCACACACAACAAACTGAATATTAAGTGCACAACAGGAAACAAGGCCTCTCCGTCCTTCAACCACATCTTTCCAGCCTCGTTCTGACACTAGAAAGTTCTAAGCTCAATTTGAGTGTCACTGTAAACTCCTCTCTGTGCCAGATGATTTTACCCGCATATTTATATTCCAAGTACAAACAACTTAAAATGTTTACACTGAGTAGTAATGGAAGTCATGTGTCAAATACAATGGGAGGGAAGAGAGTAAAGCTTTCTTCAGAACTAAAGCTTGAAGATATACAGTATCTGTGGAAAATCTGCCTTACAAATAAGAATGCAATGTTTACCCATACCATCTAATTATACAGAACATGCATTTTACCCTTTGCATACAATGTCTAACATCTCATTTTTTAAGTTTTTTGTTTTGTTTTGTTTTGGTTTTGCTCTACAGTATTGCCCGAAGCTCTGAACGACTTTCAGCTCCATATACAGACTCTCAAAGCACACGGCCACACACTTTCCTGTCATTTGTGGTCCCCATTTCCTTTCATCTCCCACTCCCAGGGAGAGGCAGCCAAGGGACTCGCCACCATGTTCAAAAGCAAAAGAGCAACAACAGTAAAGAGAGGCCCCCTCAGATGCTCTCAGGGCTGCCAGCTGCCAGCTTTCCTCTTTGGGCAGTGTAAAGACCAGGAAGACGGCAGGAGGCCAGGAAAGGGCTCAGCATCTTCCTGCAGGGAGAGAGGCCCCTGAATTTATCACCAAGCCTTTAGTGACAGCCTCTCCTCAGCTTCCAATCACCAGCTGTCCAGGCAAAACCACTCAGAAACGTTCTGAGAGACTGGCCAGTGTTGCTCAGTGGTTGGGCATCGAAGCACTACGAACCAGGAGGTGACGGTTCGATTCCCGGGCACATGCCCGAGTTGCGGCTGGATCTCCAGTAGAGGGTGTGCAGGATGCAGCCAATCAATGATTCTCTCTCATCATTGATGTTTCTATCTCTCTCTCCCTCGCCCTTCTTCTCTGAAATCAATAAAAAAAATATATTTTTTTTTAAAAGAAAAGTTCTGTAGAAGAAATAGTATGCTGGCTTAACACAGCCTATAGCTGCCCTCGTACACAGAATCCACACCAAGATCAATGTAATAGGGTTAGGACAGGGGTGGGCAAACTTTTTGACTCGAGGGCCACAATGGGTTCTTAAACTGGACCGGAGGGCCGGAACAAAAGCATGGATGGAGTGTTTGTGTGAACTAATATAAATTCAAAGTAAACATCATTACATAAAAGGGTACGGTCTTTTTTTTTTTTTAGTTTTATTCATTTCAAACGGGCCGGATCCGGCCCGCAGGCCATAGTTTGCCCACGGCTGGGTTAGGACGATATCAATGGAAAATTCAGGCAGGGCTGCCGATTTCTTTGCTGTAACATGTCCTAGTGATGGATAGATAGATCATCATGGTAAATTTATAACTTTGGTGAAGTCCAACTTTTTCTTTTTGAGAGCCAAGACTCCCAACCCCCCATCTCACACCATCTCAGTCATTCTCATGTGTCAGCCTCTAAAGTGGACTCAGGTGACCTGCCTGACCACAAGGCTTCCACACGCTGCCCCTCCCCCAACCTCACCTCAGCACTTGCCCTGGGCAGAGTTCTTTGGACAGTGATAACTACAGTGAATATTCACCTGAGCCCTCCAGTCTTTATCGTGTTAGATCCTGGAAAAGCGGACACTTTCCTTTTGCTTTTTCTGTCACTTGGCTGAAAGGGAGTACTTTTGTTCATCTAATTTAGGTAGTTCTATTTGTAACCCAGCTGCAGGAAAGAGCATCCTACTGTATTCTTTAAAAAACATAAATGCTAATTTTCAAAGAAGTTGGCACTTCATCAGAGGCAAATTTTATACACTCATTCTCAATTTGATCGACTTGCCAGCCCGACCAAGAAATTCAGTTCCTCTTACCATCTCCCAACCACCCTAAACCTCAAGGCAAGACAGGCTACGAGAAAGCAATACAACTTGGAGGGGAAAACAAAAAAAGGAAAACAAAGTTATTCGTAGAGCTGAATTATAAAAACAAACAGACCCTTTCAACATCAGTTTTTACCTTTATACTAAATTTTCACTTCCCTGATCCAGATAACCAATTTTAAATAGAACCCAATTTAAGCTAAAAGAACCAACCAACAACACAGCTATAATTTTAAACTTTATTTTAATCTAGATGGTTTGGTTGCTTCATGTATTTTGCATCTCACCCATAAGTTCTGAGAAAAAAATACTGAGATAAATGGCTAAACTATGCTATAGTCATTGAGCATCTAAACACATCTTACCTGTAAATACGTTTCCAAGCCTTGTCGTCGTTGCTCCAACACTTTTGGGACCCAGTTCCTCACATGTTTTGAAGGGATTTCTGGAGTTTTAATACATTTCTTAAGCTATAAAGACAGAAACAAACAAAAAGTATAGAAAATGTATCTTAATTATAAAGACATTATTAGGGGGAAGCCAATAAGAAAAGTGAACTGTTATCTCCAATAAAAAGAAAGAGTAAAATATGATAACACTGAAAATCAGTCAAAAAAATTCTTAGCGGTCCTAAATGTTTAGATTTCAGGATAAAAATTTTGTGTTTTTGGTAGTCGTTGCTATTGTTGTACATCGTCTATATTTCAAACTGGAATTATTGTTTTCTAAAAAATTAAAAGTTCAGTACATTAATTATAAAGAAAGTAAAAAAGTTTATAATTTACAAAATCAATTAGTACAATGAAATTTTGGTTTCATGAAGTACTTTTCTGATGGAAAGTCTTTCTACATATTTTTCATATAAAAAAGCAAAACAAGCCGAAACCGCTTTGGCTCAGTGGATAGAGCGTCGGCCTGCGGACCGAAAGGTCCCAGGTTCGATTCCAGTTGAGGGCATGTACCTGGGTTGCGGGCACATCCCCAGTAGGAGGTGTGCAGGAGGCAGCTGATCGATGTTTCTCTCTCATCGATGTTTCTAACTCTCTATCTCTCTCCCTTCCTCTCTGTAAAAAATCAATAAAATATATTAAAAAAAAAAAAAAGCAAAACAAAATGCCATTGTGTATGATCATCATACCCTAAAATGCCATCTGAGCTAGATCAATCATTTGGAGAGTTTTATAATAGAATGAACTAAAAAAACAGAAGCTGTTCCTTCAAACATTCCTAAGTATTAGGTCCAAATTCTGTTCATGAAAACTGAATGATGGTTCTCAGCTAAGCCTTTCAGGGCAGCAGTTTTAAGGAAACATATAAATGAAAAATAATTATATTGGAAGTTGAGTTAGAAAAACCTGTGTCAGGTGTATCCTACCATATCCACATTCTAAACCTGTGAATATTACCTTACGTATCAAGGTACTTTGAATATTTGATTAAATTAGGAATTCACAATGAGAAATTATGCTAGATCACCCAGTTGGGCTCAAGGAGGGTCACAGTGAGAGAGAGATTGGAAGTGGCTTGCTTTGATGATGGAGGGAGGGTCATGAGCCCAGGCAACCTCAAGCTGGAAATGGGAAAGGTATGGGTTCTCTCTTAGAGCCTATGACACCTTGGTTTTAGCTCAGTGAAACTCATTTTGGACTTCTGACCTCGAGAAGTATAAGGCTACAAATCTGTGTTGCTTAAGCCACTAAAGTTGTGTTAACATGTTACAGCAGCAATAGGAAACTAATACTCTGCCCCCCAAATGGAATGAATTTTAATATTCTAATCAAGAACTTGGAAAACCTACTGAGATTGCTCCTTTACTACACATGCAAAGAAACAGCATAATAATCTCTTAAAAAATGCACAGTTAAATCCCAGAAACTAATACTGTAATACAAAATTCTTCCCATATATTAGCATATATTCACCATTAACCATTCTGGGCTAAAATTTGTTGCACGTGAGTTGCACGCGATGCAAAAGAAGGGGCCTTGGGAAATGCGAAGATCAGTCTGTCTAGTGCTGAGCCTGTTTACCTCCTCCCTCCACACCTGAAGTGCTATTAAAATGACAGTGTGACAGTTCGGGCTGGAACCCAAAGTCTGTTCTTCTTATCCTCCTCACCAACAGAACTACATTATTGGGAATAATAACGTAGTCTTCCAAATTTAGCTAAGAAGCTAAAATGTCCAAGTGTCCTTGCAGAGAGTGGAAGCCAAAGGTAATCAGAAGCCACTGAGGAGGGCTTTCTACAAAAACTCTTCAAACATGGAGCAACGTCAGCTGGCTTGCACTTTCTATCCTAACCCCCTTTCACCTGCTTCCTGCCTAATAAAATGTGACCATGATGGCTGGAGCTGCCACGACCATCTGCCACCATGAGGCAACTCTGAGGGTGGAAGCCAGATGTTCCAGATGATTGAGCAGAAAGAAAGAAGGAGCCATGCGCCTGGCAGCCTCCTGGAGCTGCCACACAGCCCCCACCGGCCCACCTCCAAACTTGTTTTTTGTTACAAGGAAAAAATGAACCCCTTCCCACCTTCTTTGTAAGGTCACTGGTATTTGGGCTTTTTGTTTTATGTACTTGGATTTAATCCTGGTAGACATTAAAAAAAGAAAAGGAAGAAAGCCAAAGGGAATAGGGCACAGAACAATGAATAGAATAGGGCAGGGAGAAAGAGGTCATCACCTTGTGAGAGATTAATGGTTTTCTAAAAGACAGAAAGCAGGAACATGCCAAGGAAGAAAACAGAGCAGAGAAAGGCCCAGCCCAGACCCCCTCAGGAAGGGGATGACAATGGGTGCGGACTCCAATCTTCTTAGCAGCCCTGAGAGGCACTGTGCTCAAGACTGGCATAAGAAGAGGGATTAGACCATGCCATAGCCTGTAAGGGCACTCTACCCCCACCACAGCAGAGTGACTAGCAGCCTGGTTTTATCCCTGGCACACACACTACACCCCATTAAAAAAGGGTCAATGTCCCTAAGGAAAATGAATGAAGTGTTTGGGTTGAATGAGGGTTTAGCCATTCTAGACATAATGGTTTCCAGTGGGTCCCCAGCCTAATAGCTGGCTCTCTCCCCTCATTCCCGATGATGAGGTCCTTTAGCAGACATACCCTACAGAAGGACCAGACTTACGTACCCAAAGCAGAGGAACCAATGACAAATAGTCTCATTGGATGGGTACTCTGGGATCATTTTCATCACAAAGCAGCACTATAAAAGTGAAAAGACAAGAAAAACAAATGGGACAACTAATCCCAAAGGAAACTATATAAATCAAATAGCAGAAGAGATCTTTAAAAATTTGACTAGTATCTTTAGGAATATAAGAAAATATTGCTTCTATGAAACAAGAACAGGCTGCTATGAAAAAGAATGATTCAGAGAATAAGAAACAGGCATTGGGAATTAAAAACCGTGATCTATATATATAAAAGTCCAGTGACCGGAACGGCAAAACGACCAGAATGACCAGAATGACCAGTGGCTATGATGCGCACTGCAGCAGCCAACCAGCCTGATCTGGGCCCTGATCGGGCCCTCCCCCCAGTTGGCCGGGCCCCCAATTGGCCCCCAACACCCCGATTGGGGGCGGGGCTGGCTGGCCAACTGCCCCTTGGCCCCTACCCCCCGCAGGCCCACATTGGGGTGGGTGGGCTGGACCCCACCCATGCACAAATTCGTGCACTGGGCCTCTAGTAGAGAAATAAAAAAAAATTAAAAGAGGTAGAATATAAAAGTCTCTCAAAGTACTATAGCATAAACAAAATGAGAGAAAAGGCAGGTGAAAAGATAAAACACATATAGAATTAATCCAGGAGACTTAATATAAAATTAATAAGCCTCCCATAAAGAATAAGAAAAACTCCTCAAAGAATAACATTTTTATGACTTATGTATGCCTTCAGATTAAGAATCCATTGAGTGCAAGCATAATACATAAAAACAGACCCACACTTACTAACATTTATCTGTTGAAATTTCCGAATATCAAGGACAGAAAACAGAAAAAGATCAGGTGGTAAACAAAGAAAGTAGAACTGCATTGGCAACTGACTTATATCAGTAGCAGTGAATGCTAGACAATGAATGCTTCAGAGACCTAATTTGAAAATGGATTTCTGGAACCAGCCGCACCATTAATCAGGTGTGAGAGACCTTCAAGGACTCAAAAAATGTACCTTCCATGTCTCCTTTTACATAAAGTTGAGCATGTAATTCTAGAAAACTGAGGATAAACGCAAGAAAGAGGAAAAATAGGATTTGGCCTTAGAGCTCTGCCCCATCAGTGTGGGGAAGGGAACTCCAAGGACAGCTGAGCACAGCGGCCTAGAGAACCACCAGTCTATGTTGGGGCAAAGGGTCAGAGGACTTGGAGAGAGGAGCCTCCCGGAAAACGGTTGATTTCATGCAGTAGATAGTATGGAGAAAATGGATACATTTTAGGATAAAATACATTATTCTTTTGTCTATAAAAAAAAAATAATTCCTGGTTGGTGTGGCTCAGGGGTTGAACATTGACCAAGGAACCATGAGGTCATAGGTTCAATTCCTGGTCAGGGCACATGCCCGGGTTGCGGGCTCAATCCCCAGTAGGGGGCATGCAGGAGGCAGCTGATCAATGATGTTCCTCTCTCATCAATGTTTCTATTTCTCTATCCCTCTCCTTTCTTCTCTCTCTAAAAATCAATAAAAACATTTAAAAAATAGCCCTAGCTGGGTTGGTTCAGTGGATAGAGCGTCAGCCAGCAGACTGAAGGGTCCCGGGTTCGATTCCGGTCAAGGGCATATACCCGAGTTGCGGGCTTGATTCCCAGTAGGGGGCATGCAGGAGACAGCCAATCAATGATTCTCATCATTGATGTTTCTATCTCTCTCTCCCACTTCCTTCCTCTCTAAGTAAATAAAAATATATATTAAAAACATTTAAAAATAATAATAATTCCCAGGGAAAGCAAAGATTCCCTGAAGGTCATGCAACAGAAGACACTCCACTTTCAGGTGTTATTCCGGTGCTAGAGACAGTCCTGCCTTCATGGGGCTTACATACCAGGAAACAGACAATAAGAAATAAACAAGTTACTAAAACAGGGTGAGGGCCGAGAGTAACAGCAAGGTGTGTGTGTTGGGGCAGCTGGGGAAGGCCTGTGTGAGGTGGCACTGTCTGTGACCTGATTCATGCTGCGAGGGAGCCAGGTAAGGAGCTGGAGAAGGAATGTTATGGCAAAGACAGAGCAATGGGAAGGGAGGACCAAGCCTGGTGTTGAACACACAGAAAGGAGGAGACAGGTTCAGAGACGGGCAGCTTCAGACCCTGTAGGGCCTTGGAGGCCAAGACGGGAATGTGCATATTATTTTAAATGGGAAGCAAATGGAATTTCTTGAGGAAGGGAATGACCTGCTGCAATTTTTACTTTAAGAGACCATGTGAGATTCTACCAGCAAGATGGACTATGAGGGGGGTGGAGTC